TCCTGCTGATTGGAATGGAGACCCTTGGAATTCTTCAGCTTGGAGGAGGCAACCCTTGAATATCAGCCAGCTCTCTTGGATCCCTCTTCCCTCCAGGGCTGTATCCCACGTGATTCTTCCATGCTGGTCCCCAAACAGGCCAAAGCCTGCTCTCCAGAAGTCCAGGGTTGTGATCCTGCTTTTTGCTTTTCTCCCCTGCTTGCAGGATCCTCAACTCCACCATCTCATGCTCACTGCAGTCAAGGCTGCCCCAAGCTTTCCCACCTCTGACCCGTTCTTCGTTTGTAAGCGTAAGGTCCAGCAGAGCACCTCTCCTCACTGGTTCCTTGACCACCTGAGTTGGGAAGGTGTCATCAGTGCACTCCAGAAACCTCCTGGACTGCTTGTGCCCTGCAGTGCTGTCCCTCCAGCACATATCGGGGTGATTCAAGTTCCCCCTGAGGACCAGTGAGCCTTCCGCCAGTTGTCTGAAGGAGGCCACCTGTATTCCTGATCAGGTACCAGTAGCAGACACTCAGCAAACACAACATCACCCACGTTGGTCTGCCCTCTAATCCTAACTCATAAACTCTCATCTGGCTCCCCATCCACCCCTAGGGAGAGCTCCATGCATTCTCACTGCACTCTCACATAAAGGGAAACTCCCCCTGGCCTGTCCTTCCTAAAGGGCCTGTATCCATCCACTGCAGCACTCCAGTTGCATGAGCTATCCCACCACACCTCCATGACCCCAAAGAAGTTGTAGCCCTGTAAATGCACACAAGACTTCAAACTCCTCCTGTCTGCTCACTACGCTGCGTCTGCTAAGTATACAGGCACTTCAGTATAGTTGTGCTGATTTCCCAGAAAAGGTACAAGCCCTTCCTTATCCGTGTGCATACACTTAACGTGTACCCCCTTGTGCCCCGTTTTGTTGGTTTCAAGGTCTCTCTTGTCCACATCACCCTATAGCTTTTGCTTACCAACCTCATCCACCACTTGCTCACTTGTTTGTGAGGAATTCCCCATCAGTCCTATTTTAAAGTTCCCCGTTACTTTTCTTAGATACAAGATACAAACCTAGTACTGTCCAAGTCAAGCAAATATTTGCATTGTAAAGCATATTAACAACAATAAAATCCAGTTGTGTTAGCACTGATAATTTCCAGAACATAAATTCTAAAAGATCACCCCAAAAGCACCCTCTGAAGATTTTTTTTTATTATGAGGTAACAGCTTTATTTTGTGTTGAAAATGCATCTATTCTGATTTTGTGTGTTTGTTTCAGGACTGCCTGTGAGAAAAAAGGAAGAATTAAGGGAAGAGGTGACGGTTTCTTTCTCTTTTCTGATTATGAAAGGAACTAATCAGGTTGTAATCAATGAAGAAAGGCTGAGAGAGTTGGGCCTGTTCAGCCTGGAGAAGAGAAGACAGAGGGGATCTCATCAATGTATGCAAATGTCTACAGGGAGGGTGTCAAGAGGATGGGGCCAGACTCTTCTCCGTGGTGCCCAGCGAACAGGACAAAAGGCAACGGGCACAAACTGAAACACAGGCAGTTCCATCTGAATCTGAGGAGAAACTTCTTTGCTGTGAGGGTGAGTGAGCGCTGGCACAGGTTACCCAGAGAGGTGGTGGAGTTTCCTTCCCTAGAAGATATTCAAAACCCTCTTGGACATGATCCTGGGCAACGTGCTCTAGATGACCTTGCTTGAGCAAGGGTGTTGGCCCAGATGATCTCCAGAGGTCTCTTTCAACCTCAACCCTTCTGTGATTCTAGCAGCACATCCAGGTACCTCCTGCTGGAACGTGAACCATGCTTCTAAGTATAGTCAGTTTTGGTTATGGTAACTCTAGAAGAAACCATGGGACCTACAAAGGAAATACAGGAAAAGTAGTTGTCCAAGGACTTAGCTGATTCAACAGGGAGAGCAAAGCATTGAAAATCTTGGGAAAAGGCTGATTTCATAACCACGGCATCCCACAAAGAGACTGTATTTTGACTCAATCCATACCATGGAATCTACCAGAAGTCCAAGGATGCTGCACTTGAGTAAATCCAGTTAAAGGATCCCCACTGACATTGGCCTAAATGGTATGTCTCTATTCTTTTCAGTATAAATAGGCCATTGCCCCTAAGACCTCGTAAAAACACTACTGCTTATTATCATATGGTAATACCCTATACTAGTAACAATCCCTACTAATTAACAACTGACAGTTTACTGAATGAACATACAAGGAAGAATCTTGCATTTGACATAGCAATTGGATTGCTCCATCACCACCATAAGACTAAGAAAAATTACTTAGTTTCTCAAGGTAGAACACGACATTCTACTCTACTCTCATCTCAGGAATAAGAAAGTACATGGAATAAAATTTTTTCCTTCTGATGCTGAGGGATAGAGATTTCAATAGTCTCCAACTTCTGCTCCAACAAGGTGGATGGGAGTCACTGAAAAGGGATAAGAAAGACTGCCTAGCACAGGGCAACTCAGAGCTGAGCTCTACAGCCTGAGAAAAATTTTCTAGAACTCTTATGTCTTCAATTTAAAAAGTCTAATAAATCATAAAAAGTATAAAGTGACCAATAAAAAATTAACATGCAGATGCCAGTGTCACAAAAATATATTTGTTGTATATATATATTTATATTTGTTTTATATATGATCAGTAATAGGTTTAGTTATTGGTTTAGTCATTGCACAAGGGCTTCCCCTTGTGGGGGAGGATGCATAAGTGGGAGGGCAGCAAGGGCAGCAATGCTTAAGTGGAAAAAAAGTGTAGAAATCAAGCAGAGCTCCACACAACACACGATAAAAGCACACGCAACTAATATGTATATTCCGACGTCTACAGAAATAAAGTATCAGGGGGAAACGTAAATTCATAGCAAATGAACACTGGCATGGTCACCTCTTGGTTAATTGCAGTAATCAAGTGCAGTCTCACCTCCTTTGAGCAGGAAGTCTTCTACAGCTATTTGTAGCTACCTTGGAAGCATCCAAGGAGCATCATCTCATTATTATGGAAAACAACAACAGAAAACAAAAAGGCATCAACCATAAGAGCAACACCTGCAATATGGATCTTCTGAAAAGCCTGCCTTCATTTATGAAGGACTTGTGTAATTAGCTAAGTCTGCAAATTTACTATACTCAAAGAGCATATTGCACCAAGGAGCCTGAAAGCCTAAACTAGAAGAATAATAAAAGAATCCACCTATTTTGTGTCTTTGCAACAACCCTACGCTTTTCCCCCCCCCCTTCTCCTCTCCAATCTCCTTATCCAGTAGGAACTATGATTCAGAAAAATTCAAATCCAGATCAAAGACCAACAAGAATCTCTTGCTACTAACAAATTAACCATTAGTTTAATTCTGTACTGTAATACTTTAAGATTACAGATGATAAAACTAATACCCTAGAGAATAATTTTTATCTTGGAGGAAAAAACACTGCAAGTAGAAGAGACAGTAAAGTAGTATCAGTACCAATGTCATCTGAAGTACTAGGTATGTTCCTACTGACAGGTCATTGACTAACAGGCAAAATTCAAAGCGAAAGGCTCACTGTCTCTAGCATTAAAATTTCAAAGTAGCTTTGTCTCCTTAACATTCTCCATTGTGTTCTCGTGTGTGCGTGTGGGTGTGTGTGTGTGCGCGCATGTGTGTGTGCAAGAAGACAATAAACTTCTCCTTGAATTCCTACCCCGAGGTTCACAGATGTACCCTTCAGTTTGTTTAATGTCTTAAATCACTGCTTTAAGACCCAAGCTGCCACAGCCTTTCAGTATCAATTCTTTGCTCAGTACTACTTTCCCTGAAGAAGTCACCAATCTCATTGGGCTCTTCAGTGGTATGTTGGATGGTAAAGATTTGACTGTTAGAAAGAATAAGCATGTCTACATTTTAAGCCCGAATTTCATTTGTGGGTAGACAAGAACAGCCAAAATCTGTCCACTCAAAATGCAAGATTCCTCAAGGTAGAGCAGCCATTCTGCTATTAGTGTGTTTAAAAGCAAGTGAAACCAAAGAAAGGTCATAGATTTGAAAACTCAGGAGGAGAAGTCTACTATTTTGACATTAGCTAAGGAACATTTTGTTAAAGGAACTTCACTGAGGAAGGTTCTAAATCCAAGGTGTTTACAGAAGAAAGATAAAGGCTATTTTGAAGGGTTTCAGAAAACACTGAAAGGTTTGGAAAAGGATTTGTTGATATTAGAATCCAAAATAATATATCCAAAAAATATCAGCTATTTAGCAGATAGTCAGGATTAAATTGAAAGAACTGATATGCTTGGCCAGCCATTTATAGCTCCAGATGAGCACATTACAGCACCTGACACTCAGAACTGTTCAGCTGAAGAACAGTTTCCATGCATCTACAGTCCCCAATGGCATACAAATAAAAAACAATGAGATCCTCTCTAGTCATCTACGTATTATTGAGCTGGTCTTCCCCAAACCTATTTGCAAGGTAACAAGGTTTAACTTACCCTGGAAGGAGTGATTGTGGAGTTGGTGTTGGCCCATTCAAGGCATATAGGCTGATGCTACTGATCCCACTACTTCCCATACTACCAGAACTCTGGGCAGACTGAGCATTGCGGTCTTGGTAATTCAATGGGAGGCTTTGAGGTCTGGCATAGTAATAAGGGGTTGAATGAGCATCCCGTGGTAGGGCTTGTGCAAAGAGTGTGGCATAACTTGATACCTGAGAAGGAGAGGAAAAGGAAAAGGAGGAATAAAAAGAAAAAAAGTTTTTAAAAAGAAGTTGTGAGTTGCTTTATGTCCTTAGTTAACACCAATAAAATATTCAAGAATACAAAAGACAACTGAAGACCATGTTTATGCAAGGAAAAATTTGTTGATGCAACTATAATAACAAAAAAGCAAGCCAGTAAGAGTGCTTTTAACAATATAGCTTATTTTTGCCTCCTGAATTATCATCAGGAAGAGTGGTAAAAGCACTTTTTTGTTAGCAGAATTGCAACCAAAGTAGAAATTTTGCTCTTCCTCCTCCATTTTAAATTCATTAGTACATTAGCAGACTTTACACCACCAAGAAAAAAAAAAAAAAAAAAGAATACATCTAGAAAATATACAGCTTAAGCCACAAAGGTTGGACAGCTCATAATTTCCACATTCACTTAATACAGAAAAAGTACATAGAAAAAGAATTGCAAAAGCTTATGCCAAATGCCTTCTTCCTCTCAACTTTCATGAACTTTACCAAAAAAAAAAAAAAGAAAAGTGGTTTCCAGAAACATTGTTTAAGTCTGCATAGTGATTCTTAATGACATCTAAAATAATTAACATACATTTACTGTTTCTCAGTTAAAACTAACAAGTCTTCTTACCTACCTTGTTAGACTGCTTACGTGGATCTTCACTAAGGTTAAGCAGGAGGTAAAGTATTGACCATTTGTTTTTCAAAACACCCTTTTAAAAAAAATAAAAAGCAAAATATTTAAAAAAACTATTATCAAAAATTACAACCTACTCATTTCTGTTTCTCTAGCCTACTAAAAATCTAAACATATGAATTACAATTTTCCACGCACATAAGACCCAGTCATATTCCTGAGTAAATTGGGAACTGGCAGTACAGCCTCATCAGTAATTTTATGAACTTTCTTCATTATGTTCAAGTCATGAAGTCTCACCTGATGTGAGAACAGCAACCGCACTCAATTTAAAACTCATAGCTACTAACAAAGAAATTCATATAGTGTTGAACTTTTACCAACATTCCTGCCCCACTTCATTTAAAACATCTTGAGCTTAAATGCAACTCTATCCTACATGTGAAGAAGGAAAACTTCTGGTAAAATTGTAAGTGAATAACTGTCTTTTCTCAAATTTCCCTTTCTCTCTCTTTTTCAGGGAGGTTCAAGGATCAGGGAGGGTTCAAGTTTATATTACTGTAAATACCACTTAAGAGAGCTCTCGAATATTTCGCAGCTTAAGATAGAGACATCGTTAACACAAAACTTGACATATATGCAATATATTCTTTATCAAACAAACACAGATACACATAGACTGTTAGAATAATACTTTCAGCAGCTTTAAATCTCAGCAGAAAGCTTACCAGTAGAAGACAGAATAACAATAGAGCCCAAGAAGAACTCTTCTCTTTAAAGAAAAGAGTTAAGGAAAATATTAAAATACTTTCAGATAAGCATAAATATATTTCTGTGATAAAAGCTCACCTCCACAAACACAAAGTAGTACAGAGAGACAATGGCAGGTAAGGGAACCTGAATAATACCCTACCCCAGCTACTCCCAGGCCCATGAGAGCAGGGCTGTCAGCCCAGTAAGAACTCATCTCTACAAGCACAGACCAGTTTGTGTGCATGCCTTTAAGGCCCCACATTGGGATAGTTAGCTACTGGGGGACCAGGGGAGTCCTGGCCAACTGTTAAAGGGACCATAGAGTCGGGGGGGGGGGGGAAAGCTGTCATCAACTGAGAGACCAGTGTGTGTAGTGTGAGTCTGAGGGTGAGACCACGGGGGAGCTGGTCACCAGAGGGACCGGGGGAGTTCCACCCAACTGCCAGGGGCGCATCAGATTTGCAGGTCAACTGAGATGCATGCATGCGTGCGTGTGTGTGTGTGTGTGTGTGTAGGGGTGGCTTAAGGGTGAGGCACCAGGAAAGAGCAAGGATCTAGGACCAGCTACTGCATGGACTACATGTCCAAGGCCACCTATTAGACAGATACTATAGCTTACAGCATCCCTGTGCATGTCAGTGTGTGACAGGGCCTGCCAGCAACTGGAGTGGGGCTGCACACTGTAGGGGCTCATATATCCAGGTGCCAGAAACAGGGGAGACACCAAGGACCCAGGGATCAGCTACTGGGTAGACTGATTGTCTAAGCCAAGCTGCTGGAGGGATCTAAATTGTACTTTTGTATGTATTTCTCACTAACAGGCATTCCTCCTGATAAGCCAGAGAGGGGAAGAGGGTGAGGCTGTCAATGTTGTTTGCGTTTGTAGGAAGTGCTTACTATGTCTGTCTCTGTTGATCTGTGGTGTCAGCCGTGTGTGTATATCTATACCTATTGCTCACAGTAGCATGAACTGTTTGTTGGGATATATGCTCAGCCTCACAACTGGAGAGCTAGTTAACTGCTGCAACTGTCGCTACTGGCCAGGTCATGCCAGGCCAGGAGGAACCCTGGCCCTAGAGACAGCTGCAGAAGAACTAGCGATGCAGGAGGGGGAGGGAGGACCCCTGGGCCCGAAAGCTCTTCAGAATTGGGAACCTAACAGTTTCTAGATATATTAGTGCACAGTTCTATAATACTAACTCTTGAACCTGAGTTGTCTGAAGACATACACTTTATAACAGGGATTAAGTAGTAGAGTATATCAAAGAAACTCATACAAGTTCCTTCACAATTTTTCATCAAGCTACAGTAGGGAATACTAAGGAAGGTTAAGTATAAAGGAAATTCTCGTCATTCTGAGATTCAAGAGAGATTCTGTCTCTTGCAAAGCAAAGAGTAAATCCGTGCCATCAGTCTTAAGAAAAGCACTAGCAAGGTCTGAAAGTCTGTTCTCAAGTTTTTTCTTTTTTTTTTTTTCCCCCCTCTTTCCTTACAAAATATGCATTTTTGTGTCTGTGTGTTACATGGTATAAGATTTCTGCCTGTGGAACATTTCTTTAGGACAGAGCCCACCAACCAAACCTACTGACGCTCTACATTATTATGTACGAGTAGAAGGTAAAGGTCTATATTCTTATACAGAGCGAAAGCCTAGTCTTTTCTGCACTGAGCTCAACAACAAAACAAAGTAGAGGTTTTCCATATGTTGGGAATGACTCTAATCCAGTAACACCTTAACCACTGTTGGAAAAGGAGTAGCAACATTACCGCAAGCAGTATTGGCCAAGGTAGAAAAAGTCTAAGCGTCTCAAGAAGCATGGCTTGCTCAACTGACAAGTTGTCATTAGAATTAACACTGATCTCCTTTTCTCTTTAGAGTAAGGGATGAAGCCTAAGGTTAAGGGATTCACATAATTTTGTCCCCTTTCTTTTGGTTGCTTCCAAGAAAATTGCAGAAGCAGGCAGCGGAGGGGAGCTCATCAATTCAGTACACACATGTCCCTACTAGGACTTTCCCTATGCTCGTGGGAAAAGGAAACTGTTATCCATCATGAGTAATGCACCTAACAGCACACTGAGTAATAATTGATAGAGTGAATTTTAAAGGCAGTATTCAGATGCTACCACTTAAAGAACCCGAGATGCAGAGAGATGAAAGATGGCTGAAAAACAGACACACACACACACACACAAAAGAAAGAATAAACCCAGAACACTAAACACCAAAACAAGCAGCAACATGTGAGGATAGAGCAATATAAGTTTATAATTGATAATCATAACAATAACCATACTAATATGAATGCATTTGACATACACTGTGTTTTAAAGTTCAAAGCCATTATGCTCTGCATCCACATTGCTTGGTAAATGCTACAGTACGGCCACATATTACATAAGCTATAGCAACATGTTAAAGTTTGCATTTGAAACTGATGGCTGAGAACATTGGAACAGACTGCTGCAAGCCAGTGACATTTGCTTCACTGTGTAAGTGAACATAAATAGTACATGAACACAGGATAAGGAGAGAGTCGCACAGTAACCTTAGCTACAGGCTCTAATGAGTAATGAGTAAGTTAACAAACTAATGAGTAAGTTAAGTCAAAATGGAGGAGGGTGTAGGGGGAAACTAAGTTCTGACAGGTCATGCCATCGATAGTATCGCTTTTTGTGATCTTAATGTTGTTATTATATAACACTCAACCGTAATCCATCAGTAAATTCAAGAATAAAAGCGGACGAACAAAAAAATTTGTAATGAATACAAAGAGTAAAATAAGGCAAAATTCTTCTATCATATAGAAATCATCTGTTAAGTTACTTTCGTTAACCGTAGTTGCCAAAAAACCACATACGTGTAAACAACAACTGGGAATCTTATGTTATTACTGCCCATACTCTTAACATGGGAAGCATTCAACTTTATGGAGAATCCAGAAAGCATTAGCAGAAGTCATTTTTCATCCATCTCACCTAGACAGACTTCCATTCCTTTCATCTTCCTTCCGATCCATCATCCTGAATCATAGGTTTTCTCTACTCTAACATCTTTTGTCAGAATACCAACATGCAGTGCTCTTTGACTGTCACAAGTCTTCGCAGAACCACCGAAGTCAGTAGAACCACAGAACGGCTGCGGATGGACAGAACCTACGAAGACCATCTAGTCTAATCCCCTGCTCAAGCAAGCTCACCTACAGCAGACTGCCCAGGACCATGTCCAGTCAGGTTTTGAATGTCTCCAAGGATGGAAACTCCACAACCTCTCCGGGAAACCTGTGCCAGTGCAGTAACACTCTCCCAGTAAAGCAGCCTTCTCCCATGCCCCCCACCCTTAAATAGCATTTTCTGTGCCTTATTTTGTATACTCACTGAGAAGAGTCTGGCTCTGTCTTCGTTTTTCCCCCCCCCCCCCCCCCCAGATATTGATACATGTTGGTAAGATCCCCCTACGCCGTCTCTTCTCCACACTGAAGAGTTCCAGCTCTCTCAGCCTCTCCTCATATGTCGGATGCTCCAACCCTTAATCATCTTCAAAGCCCTTTGCTGGATTTGCTCCAGTACATCCATATGTCTCTTGCACTGGGGAGCCCAGAACTGGGCACAGCACTCCAGACATGACCTCACCAGGGCTCAGCAGAAGGGAAGAATCACCTCCCTCCATCTGTTGGAAATGCTCTTCCTAACACAGCCCGGGATACTGTTGGTCTTCCTTGCCTCACAGGCACACTGCTGGCTTATCTACAACCTGCTGGACCTGCAGGGCACTTTCAGCAAAGCAGCTTTCCAGATGGTCAGCCCTCAGACTGCACTGAGGCAAGGGGTTGTTCCTCTTCAGGTGCTAGACATTGAAGTTCTCCTGGTTGAACTTCATGAGACTACTGTTGCATTTCTCCAGTCAAGGTGTCACTTCTAAACTTGTTTAACTTGCAATAAGCTTATATTTGCACATCAGCTCTGTCCAAAATAAAACCATCCCATCAAAAGGGCCTGTATGCATGCTTTGAGTTGCTTCACTGGTGGAAAATGTATTACTCTACCTGTGAACTGAGTTTCCTGTAGAGTTCTGAAAACAAAGCAGCATCTGCTTCCCTTCTTTGCCGCACAACTGTATAAAGGGAATATAGATTAAAGAGTTGAAACAAATAAGAGCATAATACTTGCAACTGAATTGACACTCCTGTGGTAGTTTGGGAAATTTACCCAAGAATGCATAAGGATAAATAAGTGTTTCACTCTACTTACTTATACAGTTTTGCCTGCTTTCACATTACCTGTATCCCTGCCTACACAAGGTGGATAACAGTAGGGAGGAAAAATAGAGCTACGCGTTCCAGGAGATGGATATTTATTCCCAAAAAGTGAAACAGCAACACAGAAGAATCATAACTCACATCTAACCTTATTTTTCATGATACAGAGCAGCCATTACATTGTATCTTGCTCCCATGACTTTTGCCTCTACTCTCAGCTATAAGAATTTCAGAGACACCTGCTGCGGTCATCAACAAGAGCTTTTAATACAAAGTCTACTCAAGGAAAAATTTGTCCCCCCAAAGTTCTTACAGCAGAAGTCCTAATATAAATATTTTTTTTCCTCTTTGGGTAATAAAAAAAAATATTAAGAGCCCTTTTAAAGTCTAGCCCGTCTTTGCATGAGTTTAAGAAATTAAAAAGTGAAAGCAGATATAGGTTACAGCATGCTATAAAGTGTATTACAAGTATGATTGTTCCCTTATTACACAATGGAAACAAGAAAAAGTAGTAGTGTCGCTTGCTCACTCTCAAGCAGAATTCCAAGGTCACAGAACTCCTATGCACTAAGAAAAACATATTGTCTTTATCACTGCCAGTACATAATATAAGTCTTTACTCTGAGCAGAAATGTCTCCAAGCTTTAAGGTGCCTTCAGAAAAATCACATTGTATTAGAAAAGGAACCATATTAAAAAAAGAAAAAAAAAACACTCCACACAGAGAAACATCAAAAGAAACCTTAACGAAACAACTGCTATTACATGTTAGAAATGCTATTTAATATTAAAAGCCACTGCCAACTACATTTTGCCAAATAAGTGGCCTCCTGAACAGAAACTCCAAAAATAGGTGTAAAGTCAGGAGAATATATCCAGTTACTTGTTCCATGACCACTGACATCAACCTACAAGCTGAAGTAGAGGAGAAGAAGCTGATGATCTACGGCTTATCTTTCAAAACTGCTGGTAATTGGCCCATACTTAATGGGCACATATGCTGTGCCTAGTATTGCCCAAAATGTACACTATAGAATACAGTGTTTTGAAGCTATAGGTACAGAAATTCTCATGGGCTTATTTGGAGCAGGTAATGAAAACTCTGTTAACAAAGAATATACAAGTTCTTTAAAAAGATCACAACCACCGATTTCAGTTACCCTAACCCAATTTCACTGACTGAATATTCAAAGCTTAAGCAAAAATAGGAAGCTTTGATTTAATTAACATACTTCAAGTAATTGTTTCTAGACATTCTACCGTAAAGCAGAGAATCTGCTGAAAGTAGTATTTGGCTTTTCAAGTATGTATCGCCTCCCTACTGGATTCACACAGCAGAACACTGCTGACTCAGAGCAGCATAGAGCACAAGGGAATATAAATACAGTATAACTTATACGGACATAGTCTAAAGTTTTGGTTTTCAGGTGGTTGCAGATAAACTTGTAGAGAAAACGCAGGCAAGAAATATCAGTAAGTCACATGACTAAACGATTCCTTCCATTACCAGGATGCTCATTCAACAAATTTCACACAGGTACTCATAAAATCTAGTTGTGCAACAGTGTAATATCTTTAAAGTGCACCTCACATTATCAGTCTTCTAACAAGAAATGTGAATTCATAAGGTCTGAACAGTATTAAAATGAGACAGTTCCATCCCTATATCTAGGAAAGAAAGATACACATACGTTCTTTCTTGATTTTCTCTGCTACAAGAAATTCATCCCGTTCAACAGTGGGAGCAAAGTTGCTTCCAATAACTCTCACTGCATACTGAAACTGTTGGGCTGCATCAGCTGAAAGAAAGAAGAAAAAAAAAAACTTTCAATTAAGCAGACTGTTGAAAGTTCTATTAAAAGCAAATTTGGCATAAACGTACCTGGCTTAGATCAGCTATTATATACTGTACTCCTTATACATGCTTCTAACCTAAGGACAGTCAAATCCAGTTTACCACAGACAGATTAATGATGCATACTTTAAAACACACTCACCTGTACAGACTCTGCAAAATAATTGCACTTACATTTGTGAACAAGCCGATCCACAAAAACAAGCCTAGAAGTTGTAGCAACTACATACTGCTGTAATGGCACTAGCACCTCTGTGCAAACGGAAGAGACCTTCAGGCCTATGCAATTATTAGAGTATTACACACCTCAGTTGGCTCTGCAGTTATCCAGCAACCAAAATCCTGTAGGACTTCACACAAATTCATGAGATTCAGCTCACACATAGGAACAATATAGCCGTGTTCACCAAGCATACTCTAACAGTAGGCACCCAAAAGGGGTTATCCTACTTGGGGATCTGAACTCTGGTATCTGCTATACATGGTTTGCAAGTTAGGGTCAAAGCTAGTTCAGAAACGTCTGCATCATCTCCCAGAGTATAACTTAGACATACCCACAGCCAGTGACTTCCTTCAACTGCATCATCATTTATGCATTGATTCTGTCTTTAATACTGTTGTTAAACAGTATCACTTTGGGGCAAATATCTCTGCTTCGTGGAAAGATTAGCACTGACTTAAGCTGATAAGGCTGAGATAGAGGCAGCTCAGCATTAGCACCCCTAGAACACAGTCATGTTCTCATTTCTTGATCTGAAAGTTGACCAAACAATAACATTACTGTCATGCCTGCTGTCACTACATGTGCAGAGTATTGGATAAATTCCTATTCCTCATATATGAATAACTTGTAATACGATGGGAATACTACTAAAGAAAAAGTAAGTGCAAATGTGTAGGGTCAATTATTTGATTCTTAACACTTTCTGATTTTTAGGTCTGTTTTGAGCATAATTTTGCATGCAAATGCATCAGAAGTCCTCATCTGTTTTATTTAATCAGTCAAGCAGTCAACTTGCAGTTGAAAATTGTAGAGTCATGCAGCAGGGATGCATGATGCAGGGATGCTGCCTTGGACAAAGATACAAAACATGCGTGGAAGAGGAATAGGGTGAAGGTCCATTAGAAGCAGAGATACTTAAGAGTTTTATCACTTCTTAAATTGATTAATTGATTTTTTCCATTGTAAATGTTGATATTGAGAACTCAATTGTTGACAAAATCCATTGAAATCTCCAAATATTTATGGAAAGTAGAAATTTGAAATCAGAATGCGCTACTTTTTTTTGAATGCCCATTTCTGTCCATCTTACAGTATAAACTCCACACATTGGTCCCAATCTAATAGAGTACAAATGTAAACCAGCAAAGACATTAACCAGTTCACAAAAAGCAACAGTTCACATATGGTAAAAAAAAAAAAAATCTGCTCAGATAGAACCGTTAATATCCATCAGTATTTTACTGTATCAGACTATTAAAGGAGCATGG